TGCTATTCTCAAGTTTTGAACAACTCGACTTACAAGATCTACGTATTTACATGAGCCGATGTTTCCATTTATGATCTGTGCAAGAACTCAGTTAACAGATGTTTCCATGTATCAAAGCTATCTTGAAGTTAAGAAAATAATATCTGAAAAAGAATAATTAATACTCATAAATCTAGTGCTTAGAAACATAAATTCAAAACCTATACACCAGAAAACTGTAACTTATTTCCTTGATATTAGCTGCTCAAATGTTATGAGATACAAATTATTTTTACTGCAACCTAAAACATGCTAATCAGCTACATTACTAATTATGTATGGCTTAAATAATAATTTTAATTATAAAGAGCTGATTCTTGAAAAAAAAGAAAAAATCCATTAGATTTAATTTCAGTAATAGCATATCTTAAGCTATTTTATTTTATTTAGTCTGACAAAAGGGTTTGTAACTTACCAGTTGAATATATTGATTACCTACTCGTATCAAAATTTAAAATTGCTTAAAACTTGATAACAGTTACCGTATTTTTCGGAATATAAGTTGCACCAGTGTATAAGACGCACCCTTATTTTGAAGACAAAGTTTTGGGGAAAAAAAAGCTACAGTCGCATTTGAAAGATGTTTATTGAACAAAAATTCAATTTGATACTTTAAAAATTAGTATATATTGTTCTAAACACAAAAGAGCTCAAAACATAAAAATAAGAAAATACCATAAATCAAAAAAAGGTTTACTGTTATTTAGTTTGGTTCAAAACCTAAAATCTTCATTGCTTTCACTGTAATTTATTTTTTTATTATTTAGTGAGCATTATAAATAGTTATGTTTCTAAAAGAAAAAAAAACTACTATTGTTATAAATAACACATTTAATTGAACTAAACTATGCATGCCTATTTAAATATATTTACACATGGCTTGTGTATATCGTATATATATATACATATATATTATTCATACCTTCGGTGTATAGGACGCTAGCAGATTTGGACATCAAATTTTGAGGTAAAAAAGTGCGTCTTATAGACCGAAAAATGCAATATGTAATATTTTTGTTTTCTGAAAAATTTTGAGATTTGAGTAAATTAAAATGAAAGTACAGTACTTTATCATTTTATGTTTGTGTTTGTATAATTATTTTCAGACTTTAATATATGTATACATTGTTAAAACTAGAGAAAATACCATTTGAGATATTGCAGTACAGAAATTCATCCGAAACATGTTTATAAAATGGTGAATAATAATTACAATTACAATAATAATTACATATTTTACTAAAACAGTATTTTTAATGTGTTATTTTGATTTTGAAAACGTTTATGATGTATAAATTTTACTTAAATAGTGTTTTGTAATATGGTATTCAGGTTCTACCAATCTTTCAGATAACATGCTATTTATATATATTACTATTACTAATTTTCCAGGGATTGAAGTTACATGCTTTTCCTATTTTTACAGTTTTTATAATAATCTATATTTCTCGTATAGTGTTTTGACCTCGAATCTTACCTCCAAATGAATTGTGAAAGAGGAGCTTGGAGATGTCCAGTCTGCAAGTAAGATAATATATGTATAATTTAAAAATATGAAACTGTTTCATCAAAAACGCATCTTGAGAATTGAATTGCTAACAATGTAGACTCATCTTATGAAAATGATATATAATTAGTTCATTTTTTGCAGAAAAAAATATTAAATGTGGAAAACTTGTAGGCTTTTTGTCACTGTAATAATAACTCCTTTTTTTTATAATTGTAAACAGCCTTTGTACTAATATTTCATTCATTCCTTTTCAATTTTTAGTAAAACTGCATATCTTGAAGGGCTAGAGGTAGATCAGTATATATGGGCCATCTTAACAAATCTTAGTAATTCTGAGGTAGAAGAGGTAACAATGGAGGCCACTGCTAGTTGGAAACCCATCTCGCCAAAACAAGAGCATGACCAAGGTATGTTTTTTTTTTAAAAAGAGTTTCAAGTTTTAAAGTATGAAACTTTGTGTATAATAACTGTGGTTATAAGATTTGAAATTGAATTATTATTTAGTTTTATTTAAGTTTTTCACTTAGAAAGAGCTTTTAGTTTTAAACAAGTTTTTAAAGTTTAAAACGTTACTCATCTATATAAAAAATTACGTGAGATCTAAAACTTGTAAAACTACTGAATCCATGTATATGTTTTTATCTTTGAAAATGTATTCATCCTAAAGAAGAGATAGCTTACTACAAGCTCTTCAGAAGAAAATGTAGAAACCCAATTTTATTTGTTATTTTTGATACTTTAGAATAAGTTCAAAATCAAAGTTTATTATTGATAGTATTAAAAACATATTTGGGACCAGATGTGCCAATATAATGAATTTGAAGGTTTGTGGTTTGTACATCATTGCCACAAAAAATGCACACTCACTTTGAATCCCATTATTCAGTCAGAGAGTAGCCCAAGGGTTGGCAGTAGGTGCTGTTGACTAGCTAGTTTATCAGTTCAGAATTCGAGTTCATTATGTACAATTAGCTTTTTGTTTAGCTGTGTGCAAAAATTCTAAAAATAAACAAGTTACTTAATGTTAGAAACTGTATAATTAGTTATAGTTTCAAACTAAACATATTCCTTATTGTTCTGTAATATTGTGAAAGATGATAAATTTTCATTTGCATCAATATTAAGTAGGGAAAATATAGAATATTATTTTATTATTTTAGTCGAATGTTCATTTTGTAGTAAAGTAAACTATTCTTGAAAATATGTTAAATGAAAACTTTTTTAATTCAGGCAAGATATTTAAATATCTTTTGACTGTGAAAGTTTCCTACTTTGAGGTAAAAATTTAAGATTGTAAACTTCTGCCAGTAATTAGTCTGACAGACACAGAGAGAACTGAAGCACACACTGTTTTGATGGGAGTGATACAAACTATTCATTAAAATGATAAAACTTTAAAAGTTTGAAACACATCTAGCTTGTTCCATTATCTTGTTTTTTGAAGTTTTCACATGCTTAAAATTGCTCATATAGTAGATACATTGTTCAACCTTTGATGGAATGGTTTATATCAATGACAACTTGAACTTTGTTTTTTTCATGCTAAGCAGATTTTTTTCTCTTTCTCAGATCCCTGTGCTGCTCAAAAGAAATTTAAAGCAATGTCTCCTGGTAGCATGACAATGCCAACAACAAGTACATGGGAAGTGGGACAAGCATTATCACCTTATTCTGCCATGCCTCCTCCAGATATGCAGTGTAAGTTGATATTTTTAGAACAGTCACTTGATGATTCTATTAGTTGAAAAATATGTCTTTAGAAGAAATATTAGGTCATCAAGAAATTACTTTTTGTTTTAATATGAAAAAACCCAAACAACTTATATATCAAAACAAAACATTTATTAAATAAAATAGT